GTCTCATGTAGACCAGTGGTAGACCAGGGAAAGGGAAGGGAGAAGCAGGTTATGTGTAAGTAATTCCTTAGGCTTAATACAGACTGAATCCTCGCCCTGCAAACTAGGATTGCCAGTGGTTTTCTCATAGGTACTGCTAACATGTCTTGACTGTCCATGTCCTAACAACCTTCCAGGTGGAGATTCTAGGAAGGCCAGGAGACAGCACAGAAGCTGCAGCTGGGTCTGACAGCAGAGATCAATTTCTGATCTCTCTCTCTCTTTTTTTTAAATACCTTTGCTACTCAAAGGGTGGTCCCTGGACCAGCTGCAATAGCCGTGGCACCCGGATGTTTAAATCCCAACCCAGGCCCACTCAGCCAGGACTCACGTTTCACAGGATCCTCAGGGCTTTGTATGCAGAGTAAGTTTGAGAAATACCACCTGACACCATCAGCCAGATGTCTGAAAGTCGGTGGACCATAGAAGGACCTTGTCGCAGAGCTGAAGGCCATTTAGCCCAGGTGGACTGTTGGACCTCAGGGACCTATCATCGACTCAGATGTACTGAACTAACATCACGGAACACTGTTACCTACAGGTGCTTTTTATATGCTCATTAGGATGAGGAAGAACCCGTGTTTAGTGCTCAGGGGACAATTGTTTTCTGAGAGTGATGGCTAAGAGACTTGGCTGCCAGAGTTGAGCAATCTCTCTGCCACCCTTTTTGACATGCTCCTGTGTTCATTTAAGTGGCTGTAGCTCAGTGGTAAAGCAGTTGGCTAGCATTCTCCAGGCCCCCATCCCCAGCATTGCAGAGACTGAGAGGAAGTGAGAGAATGAGATGCGACTCCAGGGAATACTACTCAGCAATGAAAAGGAATGAACAATATGTATAATATAATAATAATATATGTAGCCTCTCGGCTGGATCTCAAGAGCATTAGTCTGAGTGGGAAAAAGCCAGTCCTGAAAGGTGACTTGCTATATGGTTCCTTTTATGTCACATTCTTGAAATGGCAAACAGATGAGTGGCTGCCAGTGTACGGGCTACAGTACCTGGAGGAAGGGGTGAGGGGAGGCAGATCTTTCTGTGATGGAGTAGTGCTTGTGGTGGTGCCTACACAAGTCTGCATATGCTGTCACAGGGTCCAACCCCACACTGTACCCATGTCGGCTTCCTGGTTTTGATACTGTACTAGACTCACATAAGACGCCACCCCCAGGGGCACTGGGTGAGATGCACAGGACTCCTCTGTGTTATCTGCAGCCTCCTGTTAAATCTGTAATTATTTCAAAATAAAAAGTGATCCTGGGCTGGAGGAGTTGTGACTCAGTGGTAGAGGGCCTGCCTAGCATGTGTGAGGCACTGGGTTCAATCCCCAGCACCACATAAAAATCATTAAAATAAGGGCATTGTGTCCAACTACAACTAAAAAATAAATATTAAAAAAAAAAGATAAAAAAGGCCCAAGGATGTGACTCAGTGGTTAAGCACCCTTGGTACCAAAAAAAAAAAAAAAAAAAAAAAAGGACGCCCTCCCTCCAAAAACAAGCAATGAAAAGAGACAATAAATAGGAGACCCTGATTGTGGCTCAGTGGTAGAGCGCTTGCTTAGCATGCGTGAGGCACTGGGTTCGATCCCCAGCACCCCATAAAAATAAAAACAAATAAAATAAAGATATTGTGTCCATCTACAACTAAAAAAATATTAAAATAAAAGAGAGAGAGAGAGAGAAGCATTGTGGCCATGGTCTATTGAGATACAATCTTTAGAGTAAGATGGCCTCGGAGCCTGTTCTGAGGTTTCCATCTGCTCTCGTGATGGAAGCCTGTTCTCCTGAAGGTTGAGGTCCCTTTCTCTACGTCTTCCTGGATGTGATCCGGAATGTTCTATCCCGTTACCTGGGGCTATCACAAGGCTCCTATGTGAGTGTGGTAAGGGTAGGGCGGCATGTCCCCATCAGATCATCAACTTGAAGACACCCTAACTTTAGAGCTGAGGAATCGGGTGCAGAAGGGAGGAGAGGGCTCCCAAGGTCACCCAGGAGGAAGCAGGACCAGGGGTGGGACCCTCCTGGCCACCAGCCTCCACCCTTGGCAGCCCCTCATCTCCGAGGTTGGAGGTGGCATTAACATTCCGGACTCATCCAGAAGTCAGCTCCGAGGAGCAGCAGCCAGGAAGCGGCAGGGCGAGGGCATCTCTTTTAATTGCCTATTCACGCCGACAGCTTGTCTTTTCAAATTCAGAGCTAATCCTGGCGCTCTCTGAGTGCTCATCAGGAATGGGAGCTAACGTGCGCTGTGATTACGGAGCGTGAGTTCTATTTTCTTTTCCTCTCAAGCAGGAAGTTCCAAATCTGCTGGGTTATTTTTAAAGGGGGTGAAAAAATAGGCTCACACCCGCTTCCGTCTGCAGTGGCGCTGTCCGAAGGCACGCGCTGCTCTATTCGGGGCCCTGGTGGATCTGGGAGGAAAGGAGGTGACAGCTTCATCAGGGAGCCTTTGGGTGGCGGGGTGGGGTCTGTGTCCACATGCTTGCGTTGGCAGGACAGGCTGCGGGGACTTAGCTGCGACGGATGGGGGCAGCTGTCCCAGGGTTTCCTGGAGTTGACATGCAGTAGGGTTGCTTCTGGGGAGGGGACTGCCTTCTCTCTCTCTGCAGAACTTGAGCCTCAAGCCCTGATTAAGAGCTGGTTCTGGTATTTGGCCATTGGAGGGGCCTCGGATCTTCGACCTACAGCACGGGAGTCTTGTGTCACCTGAGTCCCAAGAGTGAACCTCACATTCCTGAGCCCACAGGGAGTTTCCAAGAGCTCATCCCCCCCCCACCCCCGCAATGCTAATATTTAGGAAATACCATATTTACAAGAAAGCAAAACAAGTTGAACTTGGCTTTGGGTGTTTTAAAACATTTCTGGAGAGATGACCTTGGGTGAGGCACTGTTCTAGGGAAGAATTACCAAAGAGCCCAGTTTGGGGGAATTTTCCCATTCTTCTGGAATAAGTAGCAAAATCCTAGGGATCCCAAACTGTTGCGGGAAGTGCTCTTACAAAAAGTTCTAGAATCTAAAGGCAAAAATCATTAAGCTTCCTTTCCTGGTATGAATTGGCATTTTTCTCCTTCTCTCTTCTCAGTCTTAGAAGCTTGGAAATAACTTTTCTCTGTTACTAACAGTGCGGGACTCATGCAAAATGCCTCCTTTAACCCTCTCAATGCCCTGTTAAGGAGTTATGAGAGTGAAACCCAAGTTTTCAAGAAGAAAATGCAAATTAGATGAGTAACTTGTCCCGTGTCTGTCTCAAAGCTAGTCTGGGGCTGAAGAGCTGGGAACAGGCTTGTGTTTGAGTCCATAACTAGGCACTTGGACTTGGTCTCCCCTGGACTTATCTTCCTGAATGAGCTCTCAAGTGGAGGGACCCAGGAAAAGGATTGCTAGGGGTCAGCTGGAAAGGGAGATAAGATAGAGATGGTGGGAGGTGGGTACTTCTGCCACCTTTATCTGTGACTCAAGGTGGCCCATGCAAGGTGGGGTAGAGAGAGGTGAGCACTGAATTCTGAAGACAGAGACCTGATGACTAGTGAAATCCTCGAACATCCTGGGGTTAGTAAGATACCTAACCCTAACCCTAACCCTAATCCTAACCCTGTGATAAAAGGTCTGGACTCCCCCCCCCCCCCCCCAGGAGGAACATTTTTTTTTTTTTGCCTGGAGCTTTATAGGAAATAGCAATGTGACATTCAAACTAAGAACACTCCAATGGAGTCTCAGGGGTGGGGATCTCTGGGGTACTTTGTCCCACTGCCTTCCTGTGGGGCTGACCCTCCTTCCCATATCTGCAGGCGGCCTCTGTGAGGGGCACTTGTTCCCTGTTCTGTTGGTGGTGAGGTGTCCCCTTTTGAGTAGAATGGATGATGGATGTTCAGGCAGCATACACAAGAGCATTGCTTCTGGTGTGGGCACAGAAGTCGAGTCGGAGTTGGGCCTCAAGGTTTATTTGGCCAGCTACACACACCCACTGTTTCTAGGGTCCCGCTGCAAATAGCGGGGTGGAGGGGGCTCATGGCAGGCAGGGCTCCCTGCCTCCCTACCTCCCAGATGCTAAGGAGCCCTTGGACAGGCTCTGTTGAGGCCCCAAAGACAAAGCTGCCTATCAGACAGTAAAAGTCAAATGCCACCGCACGCACTTGATCTTCCTGAAAGGAATGGTTCAAATGCTTGCTCACCCGAGGCTGGGCAGAGGGTGGTGCACTGTCAAAAATAAATCGACCTCTGTTCTCCTGGCCTGACTCAGAGTTCTGGCCTGTGGCACTTGGTTGCTTCTTAAAGAAGAAACAGATCTGGGCTGCTTTGCAGGGGTGAGCAGTCGTTCTGGGGGTAGCGGGTGGGGTCAGCTCTGCACCAGCCAGCTCTGCATGGCTCAGTGTCCTTGTATAGCCTGGCTTCTCCCTAGCTTCTGGTGGGCCTTTGTGGCCTAGCCAGGGGACTAGGTAAGACTCAGGTGGGGCCAGGAACCAGACAGAACAGCTGGGGACCAGGATTGACCTCAGGAGGAAGACACTTAAGAATAAAGCTGTTTGTCCCTCCTGTACCCCAGGCCCCCACCCTGTCCAGTGGCATCAGCTTATGCTGTCCTCAGTGGGAGTGTACATGATGTTGAGGTGGCTTGTCTTTCTTTGTCCCTCCATCCCCACAAAATGTCATCAAGGTACGGGAGGGACAGGCAGAACAAGCGCCCCACAGTGGGCAATAGTACCACTGCAGTGGCCCAGGTGGCCGTACCTGTAGCCCCTCTGCCTGATGGCAGGAAACCCCAGGCCATTACCCAGAAGCAGACCTTGGGCCCTGGAGCCAATCAGCCCCCTGCCCCCACCAGCAACATGGGAAGCCACCTTCTATCTAGTCTCTCCAGGCCCCTCAATTTTCTGCCGAGTCATATTTTCCAATCTTGGGAGGAAGTTCTCAGGCTTCAACTGTTGGGTAAAAAGCTCACGTGTACCATATAAATGACGCAAGGCTTGGGAAAAATCATTTCTTTTAATGACAGAGAAAGCACACCAAACTAACAGAAGCCCTAGTGGGAGTTGCCAAGGTACAAATCAATGCCTGGGGACCCTGAACTAGCAGCAGACATCCACAGAGGGGTCAGCTGAGGCGGAGGGATGTCCCCACCGCCTCTCTGAAGACAGAGGCAGCAGGTATGCACACACTGTGTATCTGTGACATGGCCTTCTCCTCGGGTAGCTGTTTCCTTCCTCCGAGGATGGAAGGGCTGGGGCAAGTCTGCAGATGACCATGTGGGAGACAGGCCTTAGGTGTGTGTGTGTGTGTGTCCCAGAGGAGCCAATGCTGTAGACACAGGTGGCCTAAAGCAGACTTGACACTGGTGCTCCGATCAAAGGCTCAGGGAGCAAACAGGACAGATAGACAGCAGCTCCATTAGAATCTAGGTTCTGGCGCAACTTCCCAAGGGCATGCTAGGAAATAGTTTTATTGATAAAACTTTGCCATCCCAAAGGGTAAAAGTCTTCTCTTAGTTTTAAGTGCTTGTACCTAGGTTTTTCAACCAAAGAATGAGAAAAAAGGCCGCAACTCAAAAATTATTTGGAATATTGTGGCACTTCACCAATCTCTTTTGCTTATATATATATATATATATTCGTATATATATAATATATGGCAGAGCAAACGGAACCCTTCTATATAAACTTTCATTATAGATAACCCTATACTGTACACTCTCAGAATACAGAAAGTATCCACTCTATCATACATGTTTGGTCTTTAAAAATAATCTAACATAGTCATACTCTCTGGCTATAACAAACTATTAACATCTTCTGAGAATACAGAGAAAGCTCTGGGATTAATAAATTCTCTGACGTGCTCCCCCCACCCCCCACCCCCCATCCAGCATCATCTAAGAACACATTTCTGCAAAAGCACCCCAGAATCATTCATAATCAGGAGAAGAAATGGATATGTGAGTCTCACCAAGTGGACTTTTAGCAAGAAGTGGTGGAACACTTTGACCTTGCCGAAAAAGGGAAGCACAAAACATAACATGGTACAGGTTTGGGTCCATGCAAATGCATGTCTTGTTATGTGGGGGTGTTCTATTCTCACCCCGAAACCACGATTAGCATGCAGGTTGTTTTCAACTATTGGATTAGAGATAATTATTGGCAGTGCACCTCTTTTGTGTAACCATGAGCACTAAGGCAAGATGATCTCACCTTGTGTAGAATATCAGCAATAATTTGTCAGATGCAGTGTGGACCTGCGACTTAACTGCTTTAAGAAAAAAGGAAGACAGTAATCTCGAAACATAGATCCCTAAACACAATTCAGTTAAAAATGAACTGTTAAGCTTTTAGAAATATATTTGAAACGACAAGACTGCCCTGTTTTGTTATATTATGAACATTTTAAAAAGTTCCCGCCCCTAAAAATTGGCCAGATGATTTCCTCATTATGGGTAACAGCCTCACCGATTAGCTACCATGATTGACAGCCGCCCAGATGCGGCTATCAAGGTCTTGAACATCTAATACCAGGCTCGTCGGAATTGGTACCATTATTAGGTCCTCCAGGTGTCAGTCAGAACCCCAAAGGCTTTTAGGCCTCAATCCATTCATTTGACAGTGGGTTCCACGGTCCCAGGTTGGAGTTGGCTTGGCGGCCCCATGGTGACCTTCAAGCTCTGGACCCCACCACGGTTGAATCTGCCCGCCAGGGAAACGTCTCTGGGTTTCAACTGGAGCACGTGGGAGCCGAGTTTGCTTATTCAAGAGAAGCTGGCAGTTGGGGCAGCTCCTTGGCTCAGCCAAAAACAGACGCCAGGTGGAATTGGTACGTGTCTGTGGGAAGCCTTTGCAGCAGGAGAATCGGAGAGGACCTGGGAAGCACTTGCTCTGCTGGGGTTCATACGATGGAACCTTTGGAAGACGACAAGTGGATGGACTGAATCCTGATGGCCAACGTCCTCTGTAAGTCCTGGAGCACATCCTGGCCTGTTCCTTCGCCATTTTTGTCATATAGGAGCTGCTTGAATGCTTCATTTTCGATGAGGACCATCATGTTTTTGAGGAAGTAGCCTTCACAGTATGCAGAGAGCTCTGTGACTCCAAGGAACTGTGGGGGGCAGAGAGAAGTGGGGTGGTTACGCCTCGGAGATGCACTGGGCTGTCTGCAGAAGCAGCCCTGACTCTCCACCCTTTGCAGGACCCTTGGAGCTCCTCCCTGAAGGGAGGACTGGGGTGAGTTCCTTCCTCCACTTCAGGGCCTTATACAAATTAATCACCTTTCTAGCCTCGGTTTTCTGAGCTGCAGAATGAAGGGGTGGGTCACAGAGGCACCACGCTCTCCCTTGCCATCGGACATGGACACACAAGGTAATTCTGTGGTTTCTGAGAGGCCACCACCGAGGCTGGATGAAGTTATCACAAGTGGGCTTCTGATCACACACATGTTCTCACGGATGTGCAGAGTTCTGGAGCCGGGGGAGAGCTCAGGAAGGGTTTCATCATTTCAACATGAACCCTGTTCTTGGAGTCACAGAGGACAAGCCTCATTCTCTAGGAGGGGAAAAACTGAGGCTCAGAGCTGCCTATCTGATTCACTAGTCACAGAGAGCCCCCCACCCCTTGCCACACCTGGTACTTGCTTTTAGGTTAGGGTCACTCAGCACAAGTCAGTATAAATGGAGAGTCATAAGCATAATAGACACATTTCTAACACTTGGTGATATAATTTATTGAATGGTGACTATGCTAGCCACTTGCCTATCTCCACACAATGGATTACTGACAGAACTAGGACTGGAACTCTCATCTCCTAGACCAGAGGTTGTCAAACTACAGGCCTTTGGGCCAAATGTGGCCCACTACTTGTTTTTGTCAATAAAGTTTTATTAGAACACAGCTGTACCATTTGTTTACATATTATATATGGCTGCTTTTGCGCAGCAAAGGTGGAATTAAGTGAAAAGCAAGTACGGGGCTGGAAAGTTGAAACATATTATCTGGCTCGTTATAGAACATGTCTGCGGATCCTTGTCCTAGATTATGAATTTTTCAAGGTCTTACTAATTTCTTACTATATTATGACGACTACAGTTCCTAGTAAGTAATGGGTGGTCAATAAATAGGAATGAATGAGTCCTCTGGTTTCCAAACCTGTGTTCTTCCCATCATGGTGCACTTGAGCCTGCTCTTAGCTGAGACTCAGGGAGATGAGCCAGCTTATTCTTTTGTTCCAAGTGGAGAGATACCCTGAAAGGGCCATCAGAAGCTCCTGGGCTTCTTTTTCAAGACTGAATAGTTCAGGATGCCTTGATGGGGCAATAAAGATGGGACGGGTTTCTCGTCTGTCTAAAATTCTGCAGCTGTATCAGCGGGTTAGATGAAGTATAGGAGCGCAGCTGCTATAAGTCAATTACCAACTCATTACCAATAAGTCAATCAGAAAATCTTGTGGACATTCGGAACATGGCTCTTAGCACCTAAATGCCTGCATTTCCTGGGTTTCCAACCAAATGCTGGTTTCTTGCTTCTCTGTGTGTGTGTGAGTGTGTGTTCGTGTGCGTGCGTGCTTGCTATATGTGTGTGTTCCTGGTGATTGAACCCAGGGCCTTGCGCACGCTAGGCAAGCACTCTAACACTGAGCCAAATCTCCATCCCTTTTAATTTTTTCTTTTGAGACAGGCCTTGCTAAGTTGCTGAGGCTGGCCACAAACTTGCAATCCTTCTGCCTCAGCCTCCCGAGTTGCTGGGATTACAGGTGTGTGCCACCACCCTCGACTGTTTTTCTACCTCTTTTTATTAAACTAGCCTCAGATTGTAGCACCGAAGCGCACGGGATCATCATGGGGGCTGTGGCCTCCACCTCACAGGGAAGCAGGGGACAGAAAGGGCAGGAGGTTGCTGGTTCTGTCCTGTCCTTCACGCATTCCTCACAGAGGGCAGGTGTTTATTCCCTCTAGGATGTGACCTGGAAGGTGGCGGTGGAGGCTGGTGACTGTAAAAGTCAAAGCCTTGGCTGCAGAGATGCCTTCTCTCAGAGACCTTTCTTCCACCATAGGAATTCTAAGCCCATATCCCAGCTGGGCTCCCATCGCATCAGGACTCATGTTAAATAATGAGTCATGGGGCAGGGCTAAGGAGCCTGCCAGGGTTAAATTGCTGCCAAGGGGGTGGCTGTGGGAAAGCCACTTGTGGACATCAGATTTGGGGCAATTTGAATGATCATGACCCAAGGAGGAGGGCATAGAACCATTAGGTCAATCAGACTCTCTTCCTGGGCTGACAGAGGATGCTGCCTTTGGATGCTCATTTACAAAGTAGTTAGTTTAAGATAGAAAAAAATTTGCATGTGTCCTGAGAAACCAGAATTTGATATAATCATTAACACTCAGAGTAGGTTTGTATGTCCATGTGTATGAAGAAGCCTGTACTTTCTCATTACCAATAAGCCAATCAGAAAATCTTATTTTGAGGATTGATGATCGTTGGAACCATTTCAAACATTTATCAGGCCAGACAGTAAACAAAAGGTTAAGAACGTGAGTTTTAGAATGAAACTAACCCAGGTTCAAATCTCAGCACTCCACTTGTGCGTAGGTACCCCCAAAAGATTGAAAGCAGGGACTCAAACAGATATTTGTACCCCCATCTTCACAGTAGTATTATTCATGGCAGCCAAAAGGTGGAAGCAACCCACGTGCTTACTGACAGATGAGCAGATGAAATACAAGACACACAGACACACAGACACACACACACACACACACACATATGGAATGGAATATTACTCAGCCTTAAAAAGGAAGGGTACTCTGACACGTGGTAACACATCGATGATGTTGTGCTGAGTAGAATAAACTAGTCACAAAAGGACGCATTTTATGTATTTCCACTTATGTGAGGTCCTTGGAGAAGTCAAATTCACAGAGACCAGAAGCAGCAGGTGCTTACTAGGGACGGGGCAGGGGAGGGTGGCTCACCTTGGCGTGGTTGTAGATGTCCACGCAGTTGTCGGTGTTGATGCTTTTCGCACAGATGATCTCGCAGTGCCGCTGCAGAGCCTCCAGCTGGAAAAACTTCGCGGCAGACAGAAGCTAAAACCACAGAAGGTCAGAGGTGGGGGTGGGGTGGGGGGAGAGAAACCGCGAGAAGATACGGAGCCACGAGGACAAGCCACAGAAGTGTCGGGAGGGACTGGAAATAAAGCTGTCCCTATAGAAAGGTGACACCAGAGGAACCAGACAGAGTGACAGAGCTCTCCACGGGGAGGATGGAGGAGCGGGGGGGCAGGGAGCCCCATGCACATCTGGTGTAGCCGGAGGTCAGCCCGGAATGCCTAAGAGATGTCCAGAAATAAGGGTGAGTGGTGTTACTTAAGCAATGGACGTGAACACGGCAGGGTGGGGCGGGGGCTGCGTTTTCATTACAATCCTCTTGCGTGGTCTGAACAGTTTAAATGCACACGCATTTGCCTCCAAAAAATCCCTAACGGACCAGGCTCAGAGACCATCCTGGTTGGCAAACACAGCCCTGCACTGGAAAGGGGTACCCCCAGCTCTGTGGGGACAGATGCTCCTGGGCTTGGGACCCTTCCACATCCTGCTCTGTGGACCTCTTCAGCTGGATGTGGATCTATGTCCTTTATAGTAAATGTAAAACATAAAAAAAGCATTTATTATTTTGATCTTGAAGTAATTAAAAAAAAAAGGCTTAAAAAAGAGCCTGTGTTCTCAGCCTGTCACCTGGTCCTCAGATGGGTGAGAAGTATCAGAGGAGGGGTCCAGAGAAACGAGGGAGTCGCTGTGTGTCTGGGAGGAGGGCAGGGAGGCAGGGAGGAAAGAGCAAGAAGAAAAGGACGTGGCAACTGTGCCCAGCAACTGAAAAACAGATGCGTTTAGACTCCTCTAGAAAATTCAGTGGGATAGATACCACACTGCCATTTTACAGGCAAGGAAACCGAGGCTCAGAGAGGTCAAATAACCCATCCAAGGTCACATGGCTCAGGAGTGGCAGCGCCTGAATGCAGTCCCAGTCTGGCCCTGTGTCCATAGCTGACCCACCGTGGGGTCTCCTCCTGAACAGGGATCCTGCTGACACCTTTAACCGCCAGGTGCAGGGGTTCAGCCCCCGAGGGGGAGGTCTGGCTCCTTTGCTAAGGATCATGGCAGTGAGTTTTGGCTTCTGGAAACTCCCAGCTTTGACTGGGAAGATTGATTTGGGCTCCACTTCTGGAAAGGAGCAGGGGGCGCTCTCAGCCTGGGACAGAGGGGACAGGAACAGGGACCCTGGAGGAGGACAGCCGGCAGGGATCAGTGCTCTGCCTTGGCTTCTGCCTCCTGGGAGAGGGATGGCCTGGGATTAAGGAATGTTTACAGTGGATGTGATTCTTTTACAAATGACAAGGGAGAAGACATCGTCCAGGACATGCTGTTGGAGCTCCAGCTGGGCCGGGCCCGGTGCTACCCCCGACTTCTTGGTGACAGTTACAACCTGGGTTCACTGAGGACAACTGGAAGGGCCCCCTGGGGGACTAGCAGTTCAAAGCCTTCACCCAGTGTAGTCCTGAGAGGCTGCTGAGCTGCCCCTCACCCCAGGGGAGCCTAGGGGTCAAGGGCACCGTGGGCTCCTTACCTCCATGATCTCGTTGTTTTTAATGAGAAGTGACTCTGGGCCTCCGTAGTAGAGATACTGCATGACCAACTGGAAGGGACAGAGGACACAGTGAGCCAGCCTCTGTCACAAGGCGCATTAGTAAGCTGTCCAGGCACGTCCACTCTGGGACGTCCACCCACTGCCTCGTGCGGGAAGGCCCACTTGGAAAGAGTCTTCCTGAGTGGTACACTGAAATCTGTGGCTCCCCGCCCCGGGGCACGTCGACGAGCAGGGCCAAGCTATGCCTAAACTTGGCTCATCTCTGTAAAGTGGGGATGGGAGTGCACCCCTCACGGGGTCATGATGAGGACGGAACGAGTTCCCCTGGGTCAGGACCCTCGGGGCCACCATTTAAAGAGGACAGTGCATTCATGGTATGTTGACACCAAATTCACATCTTCATACATGAATTTTGTATAATGATGACCGTCTCCTTCCACTATCCTTACTATTCCCATCCTCCCTCCCTTTCCCTCCCACCCCTATTCCCTATCTAGAGGTAATTTTCACCCATGCTCTCCCTCCCTACCGCACGTGCCATAAACATAGAACTTCCCCTGCCTCTTTTGTGTTTGGGAATACTGATGCCAGGCTTTTGACAGAGTTGGTGGCAGCAAGACCTTGTAAAATAACACGGCATGGTTTTACCTTCCCTTCTCCCACCCGATGGCTCATAAGCATCCACAAGACCAAGTCAGCGAACGCAGGGATCTTGGCCTTACTGAGATCAATTTTTCATTCCCTGAGCACCTCTCTTTCATACAGGCCCAAACAACAATCATAAGCAGCATAACAGTAATATCTGGCCCCATCCTCATGGAAAATGGAGGGCCTCTTCATTTACAAAGCACTTCTGTATCCTGTTATCTCATTTAGTCAAGGTTGAGCCACGGACTTGAAATGCTCTCCTTAGCGGTTGGAGGTCCTGGGGCTAATGGAATTTAAATTGGGCTGTCCCAGACCACTGCCAGCCGCTGGCAGCACACCCTTCTGCAGGGGTGAAACGCACCCTTATTAGGCCGTGGGGCTTATTTATGGACTTGTTTTTCTTGGCAGCAGCCAACCTGCAGGAAGCAAGGAGCAGAATGGTATTCACAGCCTCGCAGAGGCCCAGGCTTCCAGGTGCAGCCTCAGCTGCTGGGATCTTGCCTGTGATGTTAAACAGTCTTGGGGGGCGGGGTTGTGTGGGGAAACCCAAAGCTGGCTCATTTGCTAAAGTTCTACCAGCACGGAGTGAAGCGCACAGGCCCCGGGAGGCCTCCCTCCGGCTTGCATGCAGCCTTCCTCCGCCTATTTCAAGCCACAAATGGGGCTTTTCTTCATTTATGGGGAAGGGGCCTGCACAGGGACGAGTCCCCAGAGCCTGTTAAGTTGTCCTTTCCCATTACAGTAACTTGAGGCTAATGTGGCCAGGAAACCATCCCCAGTGAAAGCAATTACAGGCCTGTGGACTCTGCTCAGGCAGTCTGTTCCCACGCAGGCTCTTATTCAGTGGATCCGCTCGACGAATATTTATTGAGTGTCTACTACGAGCCAATTTCTTATTCCAGGAACCTCCCCAATTAGTCCCAGGCTTAATGGTAGCAGTGGCCCTTTCACGAGCACCTGGAGAGCTGGGGAAGCACACGTTCCTCTGCCTCTAGCTCAAGCTCCAAACTCTGATGGGCTGTCAGAGTCTCCTGCAGGGCTGGGCGGCTCTAAGGAGGGCCTGGGCCCTCCCAGAGGGAAGAAAATCCCCCAGAGTGCCCGGAGTCAGGGGCCTCGTGAAAGAGCTCCCTCACAGAGCAGCGGTTCTCAGAGTGGTTCCAGGGTCAGCCCAGCAGCATCCCCCAGGGTTCTTGTTAGAAATGTGAATTCTTATGTCTGCAGAATCAGCTGGGGTGGGGGGCGGCCCAGGTGCCTGCATTCATCACGACTTCTGTGTTTTCACGTCTCGTACCTGTCCCCAGGTGATTCAGACACCTGCTGATGTACAAGAACATGGTGTACCTCAGAGCACTGGTTCTCCACCTGGGCTGCCATGGGGAGATGCTTCATGCCGATGCTGGGCCCCACCCTGTGGTTCTGACTTAACAGGTCTCAAGAATAGCCAAGGCCTTCCCTGGGGATCTTCAGAGCCCCCTGGGAGATCTGCTGGGCCAGCTGAGGCTGAGAAGCAGGCTTCAAGCCTCACACCTGGTTAAAGCTCAGGAAGGGAAACTGTCCTTCCTATTTAGAGAAGATGCTCCCGAACAAGGTTCCTAAGCTTTGCTACCGGACAGACTGGGTTCAGATCCTGGCTCTGTCTGTTGTTATTAGGACTGAGACTTTGGGCACATTTGTGAAGTTCTCTGGGTCTCAATTTCTTCACGTATAGAAATGCCAGGAATAATATGCCCGAGAACCCATGTGGGCAGAGGCCAGGCCCTCACAGAGCTCCTGAAGTGTGTCTCCATGCCTCTCACCCCGGACCCTAAGGCAAAGCAATGATCTCCCGGCAGCTTCCGAATCTACCAGCTGTCATTCAGGACGGGGCTGCGGCTGCTTTGCTCTCAGAGGTCCTCAGCCTGGGAGAGGGGAAACAGGCCTGCGGATGCCTGGAGTGAGCCCATTCCCAGCCCACCTGAAGGCTGCGGTGTCTTCTCTGATCCCGGACCTCCTCCACGTTAGTGGGAGACACCTCCTATGTCTTGGGCATAGCAGGGAGGTGATAATATTAGTTGCAGCTTAGAAAACCACCTACTTGAAGATTGCCACAGTGTGCCCATTGTGCAAGGTGGATGCTTTCTCACATTGTCTTATTTGATCTCTGCAAGGGATTCGAATCTCTTCCAGAACCCAAGACACAGAGGTGACAATGACTAATATGTCAAGCGATAGGGAGGCTGAGACAGGAGGACTGCAAATTCAAGGCCAGTCTCAGCAATTTGGTGAAGTCCTCAATAACTTAGTGAGACCCTGTCTCAAAAAAAAAAAAAAAAAGCTGGGGATATAGTTCAGTGGTAAAGCACCCCTGGGTTAAAACCCCTGGTGTTTTTTTAAAAAAGAGGTTTAGAGTGTTTTGTTCTTGGTTACTTAGGGAGAGTTCTTTATTTTGAAGTTTCAGTCATCACCAAGGAGTGCATCTCTAATGGTGGAAATTCAGGCACCTCAGCAGCAAGCTTTGGGGCTAGTGGGAGGCATGGTGCCTTCTTAGTGGCCCTCCCCACAGCAGGATCTGGGCCTCAATGGTGGAGGGAGGAGCCGCCATTTGGCTCTCCTTCTTCCCACACTGTGTGGTCTCGATGCATCTTTAGCCTCCCAAACACCGTGTTACCCAGCTGAACAGACCAATGGTCACTTTTCCTCAAACACACCCTGCAGCTTTCCACTTTGTGCCTTGGTTTAGCTGTTCCCTCTCTAGAACACTCTCCCTCTCTCCCCTTAGCCAGATGAGGAAACTGAGGCTCAGAAAGATTGGATGATTTGCTCAAGCTCACACAAGGGGCACTGATTTTAATTTTTTTTTTGGTACTGGGATTGAACCTAGGAATGCTTCACTTCTGATCTACATCCCCAGCCTGTTTTATTTTATTATTTTTTTTAATTTTAAGACAGGGTCTTGCTAAGTTGCTGAGGTTGGCCTTGAACTCACAATCCTCCTGCCTCAACATCCTAAATAGCTGGGATTATAGGTGCATGCTACTGTGACGGGGACACAGGTTTTAAACAGGGGCCTCCTGGAGTGTGGTCCTGTCATTCAAGACCCAGGTCAGGACCTCCTCTGCATGACCTTGCTCATGGTCAGTCCTGCCTCCTGCTTTCTGAACGCCCACCAGCCCTTCTAGAAGAGCAGGCTTCCGGGGAGGCCTGAGTCTTCCCCATGGCGGACTCTCTCCAGGGTCATCTTCCTGAATTGAGCTGGAGGAACCAGGTGCCGCTGAGGAGTTCTGTGAACCCCATCCTCAGCCACCCTAGGGGAAGACAGTGTGGGGACCCCGGTCTCCCTGCTGGCCTGGCCTGTGTGGCAGTAAGGAGCCGGCCAGCCTTCAGGTGCCCCAGTGGGACTCGGAGCTCTGGAAATCCGGCTCTGAAGGAGCTGGGGGCGTGGATCCCTCCTGGCTGCAGGACGTCTGCGAGGGAGGCTTAGGAACCAGGCACCAGGAGGGAGGAGAAGGGAAGCGGCTGCCGTGCGCCTCAAAGCCACATACCCAGCCACTGCCCACGGCACCGAGCTTCTTTCCTGCTTATGCTGGGTTCAGACTCAGGTTCAAACGACCCTGGGTTCTAAAAGCCCGCGGGTTCCCCATCATGCTTTGCTCAGCCACCACGCGGGGACATCGTGCCTGCAGTTCTCCTCGCTCTAACCCTCTTTCTTGAGCACTAAACCTTCCTGAGCTCCCCAGCTGTCCCTTGGCCTTTGATCCTTCAGCCCTTAGGACCTCATCTGAGAGGCCTCCCCAACTGTCCTGCCTGAGTGGCCACAGCACGCTGGCTCACCCCCATCTCTCACGTACCGTAATCAACTAATTGCTCAGTCACCCCTCTAGACTGTGGGTCTCTGGGAGAGGGTGTCCCTTAGTTCTGTGTCCCCAGCCTCCAGCTCCGTGGGAGAGGCAGGTGCCCGTGGTCTCTGGAGGGCTAAGTGGGCAGGAGCCCAGAGCGCTGGAAGTGGTCAGCTCTCTGTGGGGGCTTCTCCAACGGCAGACCCCCAGGCTGGGGGAAGAAGGCGACCGTGTGTGCTCTGCGCCACCAGCACAGAGTTCCAGGCCACCTGAGGGCTCACCTGGAAGATGGGGTACTTGACGTAGCTGATCTCGATGCAGGGGCTGTCGTTGGCCGGCTTGCTGGAGAGGAGCGCTTTGAACCTGGCAAGACACAAAGGGAGGTCAAGAGCCACGCACACCCCCGGGGTGCAAGACCTCAGCTCTGCTCAGGACAGAAGTCCTTTACAGCAAGGACAGTGCCCGAGACTTTAAAGTTAAACCCTCCCTGGATTCTATCAGCACCGAATTGGAAGCTAAAACTCGGAAGCTAAGAAGTGTCTTGAACTAGTCCATCCTTTCTCGACCTGGTGATTGGAAACGAATGGGTGCCTTTAAAACCCGGTCTTCCTTCAGGACCCATGGCAGGCCCTTCCCGAGGGTGGCCATGGCTCCCCTCTCACCCGGGCCATGATCAGCTTGCCCCCTGCCTGTCCCTCTGCGCCCTCTGTAGGAGCCTGACATATTGCTGACTCCCTCAGGGTCTCCCTACAGGGGACTTTCTGTCCTGGCTTTTCCTAAACCATAAGTTCCTTGAAGATAGAGACCCTGTCAGCAGAACACACTGCATCAAAAAACATTAGGAATGGCTGTCCCTCTCTCTCTAAAATTTTAAGTTTGAAATGCTGATGGATTTATAGGAGAGCTGCAGAGATGGTGCCGAGGGCCTGTTTACCTCCCTTGGTGTCCCCCAGGGCTAACACCTTATGTGGCTGTTGGACCTTCGTCAAAACCAAGAAACTGACTTCACTATCGATCCAGCTTCTCTGGTGTCACAAACAAGAGCTACGCGAGGCACAGGTGCTTTTTGTTGTCTGCAAAGGGGACATCGGGGATTTGTGTTTGGTTTTGGGGGCACTGGAGATGCCAGCGTGCTTTGGGGAACCCATAGAGTGCTGGTCACATAGCCCTTAGCAAAGTCCTTCAAAGGGGCTTCTGTTTCTGGGTTCGCAGTGTCCTTACCCACCTCAGGTACCATGATTCTAAAGTGTCAACCCAACTCCATCAAATCAGTAGGAGAAAGGGCAGTACAGTTGAGCTAGCAGAGAGGGTGGCAGTTTCTTCTTTTATTACTACATACTATCCTCTGTTAACGCCACAGTTAATGAAAAGGAAGAGTAGAACCTTTGTATTTTGGTGGCTTAAGTCTGTGCCCTGACACTTAAGAAAGGATGGGTCTCTCGCGGCTGCCATGCAAGGGGCCTCAGTTGTTCACTGCACAAAGGCACCTGGCTGAAGGAGCCAAAATCCAATCTGTGCTCTGCATAGAAAGTTCTGCCCATGGTGCCTTATTCTGGTTTGCACAAAGGGGTACCCTGTACTCTGGAATCCTTGATATTGAGAAGACACTCTGTCAGTCCAGCAGATACCATTGATATTGAACTTCAAAAAATAGCAATGGCAACACAGTCCTCATTGAGCTTCATGCAAACCCGATGACACATACCTTGGGGAGGCTGTGAACAGCAGCACTTTGTGAGCATAAAATGGTCTTCCTTCTACCAGGAAGGTGACATCAGACATTTCTTTATTGTTAAGAAAATGAGGATCTAGAACGAGGAAGGAGGGAAAGGCTTCAGTGGGAAGAAAGCTGGGACTCTTCCTGCAGAAAGCACAAGTTAGCACAGCCGAGGAGACCACGGCCACGGGTAGCCACAGTGACCAAAGGAGGCAGCATCCATCAGAGGAAGGCGCGGGGCACTGAGATTCCGTCTGGCGCAGGAGATGCTCATTTGCCGTTAAAAATTAGTACTTCCCCTTAGAAGACCCACCCGCGGTCAGAGTTCACCTGCCCATCTCTAAGAGTGCCACTCCCTCTTCTTGGGCTCAGTGCCCCCTCAACTGAGCTGCCCCTCACCACCCTGTGATTGCAGGTGATTGAGAATCAGTCCTTCGCTCCCAGGGTCAGTGAGAAATAAGCCTGTCCCCGGCCATCATCTTTTATAATAACAGACATGATGGAGCTCATAGGCACTCCTGGGTCTCAGCTCTTGGTGTGCCGGGCCCTGTGCAAACTGGCAGAGCCCACGTCGACCCCACGTGCAGCTGGGCTGCTGAGCACGCAGAGCGTACGATGACCTGTCCAAGCCAGTGACACGTGGGGAAGCCAGGACTGGAACTTGGCACTCTGATCCGGTGGCCTCGTCAAACACAAGGATCCCCCAGTTCACCTGTCACTGAGCCATGCAGACCCCAGTCTCCTGCAGGTGCCAGTCTGTCCCCAGCCCAGCACTGTGTCTAGTTGGGGATCCGGATCTCCCTTGGCCCCCAATCTCTGAGTCAGTCCCCAAGCAGGTGAGACTAAGGTGACCCTAACCTCTAGAGGGGTTGCAGTAGGTCACCCCCTAATAGCTGGCTGAACGGCAGCACCCCAAGGCCGACCTTGAAGATTCCTTGAAGATTTTTTTTTGGGGACGGCTGTGCCCAATTCCCCAGTCTGAACAGCCACCACATCCCTCACTCACCTAAGAAAAGATTCTCCCTGCAACATGTGGCTCTGGTCCCTAAGAATGTCACTAGTAGTTGCCTACACCAGGGACCCCAAGGCAACAGGACAGCTTCCTCTCGCAGGGCCACCCACAACCTCCACCCCAAACAGCTTCCGTGCTCCCCCAAGCATTCCCAAATCCCGTCTCCCTCCGTCCTCTCCACCCCGCCGTCCTGGGCCATGTCACCGTCCTCTCTCCAGCCCCGCCCAGCCTGGCTCTTCCCTGCTGGGTCAGCACAGACACCTCACCAAGCCTGACTCCCCCACTCCTCCCTCTGAGCCAGTATCCCACTGTCTCCCACAGCCTCTGCTCCCCGCTGTTGGGGCCTCCCGTCAGGAAAGCATATCCCTGTCTGTCCCTGTCATACTGACTTCAGGAAGAGGAAGAGCCAGAGTCTCAGCTGCGTGACCTTGGCCGGGTTATATGTCCACCTGTGCCTCAGTTTCCCCCTCCATAAAGTGGGAACGGTAATGCTCACGACAGGCCAAGATCCCAGGACAGGAGTGAGGACGAAATCATTAACTGAGCCGAATGGCCGTCGGTGGCGGCTCCACAAACAGAACTGTTCCAATAGACGCTCAGTATCTTCTGGATGAATGAAAGATGACGGGGACCCTCTTTCTTCTAGAAGCAGTGCCGAGGACGTCAGGCCCCTTCCTAGCCGGGACCCTGCTTGTCACTGGTGCACCTTCCCCGGGGCTTACAGAGCTGTCCTGGAAGGAAGCTGGTGGCCTCCTTGGGCTGGCTGAGGCTGTCCCAGGTGGTGGAGGACAGGGACCAGGCCCCTGTATTCCTGACCCCTCAGCAGTTGGTCCCCCCGGCTGACGGGCTGGGGCCCTGCCTTGGTGCCGCTGTGCCAGGCTCTGCTGCCTCCTGGACAGAATACGCCTTCCTGCTGCTCTTCTCACTCGGAGACGGAGCCCCCCGGGTCCCTGTGCTGCCCAGCTGGAGGTTCCCAGGGTGCCCGCTTGTTGGTCTCCGTGGGAACTTGGCTACACCTCTTCCCATGTGAGATAAAATATTTACTTTAGAAATGTCAAAAAAGCATGAAAAAGTTGAAGTCAGCTATAATCCCACTTTCTTTTATAATTTTTAATTAAAAAAAGTCCCTCAAAATCTTGAAACCACCCCAGTAAAGGGAAGAGAAGCCACAGGGAGCCCTCAGGGGACTGAACCTCATTCCTCCACTTGCTCTGAAGACGAGCGTGGAAGGCTGTTCTCCTGCCTCTCAGCGACCTGCATCTGTCTGCTATTCATACCTATTGCTCATCTCCAACCAGCCCCCCGACCTGTTCCCCAACTGGTGAGTAACTCCTACCTCCAGCTCTCTTTACCGTTCTCTCCCAGAATCCACTGGGAGGGCTGGAAGACCCTGTGCCGCAAAAAACGAGGCATGTGCTCCCACATTCGCCTCAGGCCCCACCACTCCCTGACGTCTCGCCCGTGGAACCCATTTCACTCATTGATATCACCTGCCTGGGCTTGCAGCCAGGCCAGGGGAGACCCTTGTCACTGATCATTCCTACCTCTCCCTTAAGGTAGGTCCCTAAAGAATGACTATCGGGCGACCTTTAATGACCCCAGCTTGCAATGCAGTCTCAAAGATGCAAACCAATCCAGAATCACGTTTCCTTTGTTCATAATTCTAAGATGCCTTTCTCTTCCTTGTTGTGGGTCCGCCTTTTTTTTTTCTTTTTCATTTGGTGCTAACCTTGGAATTCTAGTGCTTGGGCTGAAAACCAGGTGCTTTTCAATGCTGGCAAGAGAAATCTCTGCAGATTTGGGAGAAAACATTCCCCTCCGCCCCCCGTGGCCACAGGAAAGCAGATTTTATGCCATGCCACTGATGTGACCCTTGCAAATGCTGGCCCCAATGAGGACACCTTGTAAGGCATAAGACGTTGTTCCCATGTCCTGGGAATGTGACCCTTAGTGTCTAACATCTGTTCACTCAATTGATCTTTACAAGTTGTGCCCTGGTAATATTTGACCAGCACCTGTTTTCTCCAACTCCGGTACACCCTGGCCACTCTGGTACACCCCAGTTTTCTCACATGCACAGACGTAAAGATAAATAGTAACCTTTGATTCAGTTGCTCGATTTTTCTTTTTCGCAAAAAGTTGAGTCTCGTTCACCTTCACAAGTTATCACGACAGGAATGAAAATACTTTGGAACAGTTCCATGAACTCAGCCTTTTAACAACTTTCACAGGCTCATGCCCTGGCCAATGAGTGGTTTAGTTACAGGGGAGAATTTTCAGATGCTCCCATCTCTCAAATGTCCCCTCCTGGCCACAGGAATCCTTTCTCTTTAATATTTTATAGGTCCCCAGGCAAGCAAGGGGACAGACCCTTACAAAAGTAGCTTCAGGTTTCAGGCCTTGAAGCACTGGGTGTTTCTCTGCCTTCCTCCCAGGCCGCAGCAGCCCCGGGTCCTCTGATTGAGCCCAGTGCCTGGTGGACGGTTTTCTCCTACAAAGTCTCAGAAGCTGGTTCTGCACAATGGTGGAGTGACGGCTTTGGGCAGAGCTGGCTTCAAGTTCCAGCCGTAATATGGGCTGGGTCACCTCGCCAGGGCCTGAGGGTTACTATAGATAGAGGAGGTCAGGTGCAGGCTCAAGCTGGCCAGTGCAAGTGAACAGGGAGTGACTTTTGTGGATTGGAAGCATGAAGCCCCCTCAACTCAGGTATGTGCCCCTCGTGTCTTTAGGGGTGTGTGGTGGTGGAGGGGCCGTTTCTCTCTCCTCTTCCCTACGGAGGATTTCTAGTGGACACAGCCGGCTCCTCAGTGTCCCCTGCTCCTTCCTCCCTAGGGAAGAGGAGGGTCTTAGAGGACTTGGAGTTTGGGGGACAGAGTCACTACATGCAGCGTGGCCTCGATCACAGCCTACTGTGCGGGGGACATGTGTGGATCAGGAGACCTCGGCTGTCCCCACGTCTGTGACCAGGGGAGAAAAGTCTACCTGTTGAAGGTTAGGCACTGGGAAGTCTCCTTGACCACATTCCCAAGGGAGATTCTCCAGAGAGATGCCTGATGTGGGGGTTAATCCCATTTCCATCCGCCTGACTCTCCATCTATTCATTTGCCCTGGAAACACCCCCACCCCCATTTTTTTTGGGGGGGGTCAGGGATTGAACCCAGAGGTGCTTTAACCACTGAGCCACATCCCCAGCCCTTTTTAATATTTTATTTAGAGACAGACTCTCTCTGCGTTGCTTAAAGCCTTGCTGAGTTACTGAGGCTGGCTTTGAACTTGCCATCCTCCTGCCTCAGCCTCCTGAGCCTCTGGGATTAGAGGCGTGTGCCACTGTGTCCTTTATTCTTATCATGGTGTTTGCTCCCTGTCCCTGCATTACGGAGGAGCAGCCCAGGCGGGCCTCAGGGTGCTACTCACCCAAGCGCGAGGTCTGCTTCCGTTTGATCTCCGTCAGCTTGGGGATGGGGTATGGCCCGTAGCAGTGGGTGAAGATGACGCAGAGCTGCTGGCTGATCACTTCATTCTGTGGAGAAAGAGGAGCTGCATTACGGGGGGCTGTGACAACTGGGGCTGTGACTACAGGAGTGTGTCCCCAGCTGAGAGGAGCCTACACCTGGCAGGTTCCATGAGAAATCCCCTGGAGAGTACACCTTCCGTTTGGCCTGTGGCCCTGGGGGGACGTGCTCTGTGTGTCCCCTATTTCTAGTGAGTTCTCTGCTGCAAGCTTGAGAAATTTTAATGAAATTCCTCGGTCTTGCCATGATCGTCTGTTATCCACGGGAAAGCAGGGGTCTGTAGTTCAGAGAACAGAAAATAAGTTTTTGATCTCGAATCCACCTCTACAATTAATCTTAAATTCTGGAAGCCGCGAATTGGCCTGAGTAGTGGGAAGCCCTCTGGGTTCTCTCCAGGAACACGGCAAATGTTCCTAAGTCTTGCTTTCTCATGGGCTAGATTCTGGGGGCTGAAGCATTGCTAGGTCTGGGAGGAAGCATTCAAATCACATCCTAAAAAAAAGCAGACGCGCAGGGGTCAGTTCTGTGATCCCGAATTCCAGCCGCCCCTGAGGGCTCAGGGCTTGGCGGCTTTGTGACCCCCCTGAGCCCTCACGGTTTGCATCTTCCCACTTGGAGCCTTTGTGTTCATCCATCTCCCTTGACCTGCAGCTTGCAGGAGGCAAGAGGGACTCACAGCGATGAACTGCTTTTTATTGGGCAAAGGAGGGTGAAAGGAAGGGGGTGGAAATAGCGGTTAGAAAAATATTTACGGTTTCTATGGTTTGGATAAGTATCCCCCAAAGGCCTATCTGTTAAAGTGTCATGGTCCCCAGCCATGACACCAGTGGGAGGTGATGAGTGAGTAAGCCCCTTCTGAGTTGGGACTTAAATGGGGGGAGTGGTTCTTAGGTTCTTAGGTCATTGAGGATGCTCCCCCAAGGGGGGTTATGGGAGCTTGGTCTCTTCTGCTCTCTCCCTCTTTGCTCCCCAGCTGCCAGGAGGTGAGCAGCTTTCTCCGTTATGGGCTCCTACCATGAGGAGCTGCCTCGCCACAGGCCTAGAAGGAATGGGGCACACTGACGCAGGGCCTGGAACCTCTGAAACTGTGAGTCAAATAAACCTTCCCTCTTTTAAATCGATTGTTTCAGGTATTTTGTTATAGTAACAAAAATCTGACAAACAACAACATATTAAATAAGAAAAGTGGTTGCAACACAGTTTGTACCATGCTTTCTTTCTTCTTCTTTTTTTTTTGGAGGGGGATATAAAACACCCAAAAAGGTTTAGAGGAATAGAGCAGTCGCCTTTGGGGGAGATTATGATTGTTTCTTTTCTTTTTATTGGTATGACAAATGAATATTGCTTTTGTAATAAAATACAATAAATAAAATTTTGGATTTTAAAAGATGGGCTTGGGACCACTAGCGATGTCAGGGATTCAAGCTATTCTTGGATCTAATTCATGGTGCTCCCAAGACAAAAGGATACAAAGAAAAGAAAATCCAAACTCTTCAGTTAAAGCGGCTAGACTGCAGAAGGCATCATGTCACCTCAGATGTGATTCACAGAGGTATAATTATAGGAACTGTTTCCAAGGAGGATGGCTTATAACCAAAGGATTTCTGGCGCTCCTCTCACTCAACATTCAAAGCAGTGACTGCCCGCGTGGCTGAATGCACTGGTTCTCAAAGTGTGGTCCCTGGAGCAGCAGCATTAACATCACCTGAAAGTTTGTGGCAATGTAAATTCCTGGATCTCACCCCAGACCTTCTAGCTCAAGAGTGGGGTCCAGAGAGCTGTATGATCCATAGTTTCCCGTGCTGCTGAAGCTCCCATAAGTTTGAGAACCATGGGTTTCACGTGCTGCAGTTCTCTCTGCAGTCTGACCTGTGCTGGGGGCTGACAATAGGGTTTCTCTGACCTGAAGCCTTGTTGTTCACCGTGTGCTACTAGAGCAGCCTCAACGGCATGTCTGAGAGCCCGTGAGCAAGGTACACTCTCACCCTCGGCCACAGAGCCTGAATCCACATTTTAACACTCCATATTGGCCCCCGTGCACGGGCATGGAGTGGCACTTCAGTGGGCAGAATCACGGCCCCCACGGGAGAGAGTGCTGTCATCCCTGGCACTGAGTACCAAGAGCCACTCCTCACCCATGAAGAGGTCCCCACACAGGCAAAAGGGACTGCGCAGGGTGATTAAAGCTGCTGCCTTGGTCTGGGCAGCTATAACAAAACACCTCAAGGTGGGTACTTCTGACAACAAAAAATTTATTTCTTGCCGTTCTAGAAGCCGAAAAGTCAACGTGAGGGCAGATTCACTGTGTGGTGAGGGCCCTCTTGTGTTCTCCTGTGGTGGAAGGGGTGGGACATCTCTCGGGGCCTCTTTCATAAGGGCACTTATATCCCAGTCAGCTGCCAAAGGCAGTCCTTCCCAGTATCATCATCTTGAGGGTTCGGGGGTCAACATGGGAACTTGGGGGAAGCACAGCATTCAGAACGCAGCAGTGACACACAGGTAACCTTAAAACAGGGGGAGTATCCTGGCCTATGTGGGTGAGCCCAGTGGAATCACAGGAACCCTGAACAGCCAACAATAAAAAATTAAAAAAAAAAAAAAAATCCAGGCAGAAGAGGATCCAGAGGGGTGGGGTCAAGAGGAAGTCACAGGGCTCTGTTCTGTTGCTGGCGTCAGGTGGAGGGGCCACAGGGCAGCCTGAAAGGGGACCCCTCTAGAAAGACAGGGGACTCCAGCCAGAAGCCACAAGGAGACGGACCGCAGTCTCACAACCACAAGGAGCATAGTGAGCGGAGAAGCAGTTCTTCCCCAAAGTCTCTGAAAAGAAACACGATCCTGGGAACACCTTGGTCTTGCCCTTGAGACCCTCAGAAGAGAAGTCTGCTGAGTCACACTGTCCCCAGACTTCTGATCCACAGAAACCATGAGGTAACACACAGCTGCGGTCTTGGCCCCTAAGATTAGGAATACCCCTTGTCTAAGTTTACATCAGTCGGACCACATTTCCTCACCTCTGAGACCCCAGAGGGCCAGACACATGGAGGATGCTAGAGGAGGGCTTGCTGGTTAGGATGACAACAGGACCTGTTGTCTGCAGATGTCTTTGTGCAGACCATGTGACCACTGTCCCTGGGCTTGCTCACCTGCCTGGGGTTTGCCTTGAGTCTTGCTGGGAGTTACCTTTACCCCACTCTGAGGGAAGAAATGGAAATGCACTTCTGAGACTGGTGGCCTGAGCAGCGGTGGCTCCTGCCGGGAGGGTCTGCGTGTGTGGTTTTGATTATAATTGGATTTGATAGGTATTTACTGAGCATCTGAGGTCTCTCACACCACGGAAGGAGTGTACTAGGGCCCCCAAGGCAGGCCTTCCTGTCCCTGGAACTCCCAACCTGACCTCTCTCTCTGACTTCAAGATGGATTGTGTCACCCAAGGAAGTAACTTGGAGGGGTGCCATGATTGTCCCAAATGGATGACCTTCAGACATTTCAGTTGGAGAGGCGTAGCTCGCTCCTGTTCAAGCAAGGGCTGCACACGCTGACTTCATCCCAAGAGTACAGTAGGGAAGTAGATCCACAGAACAGGAACCCACAAACACTACCCAACCACTGAGAAAGGGCAACATCAAAGGCCATAATGCCTACTGAGGGGCTGTGCCCCCCAGAGGATGCCATGACAATGGTGCTGTGTCTCTGGGTGTCCCCACCCCAATCCGAACTTCAGTCTAAACTTGAGAAAAAACTTTGGATGTATTTTACTGGAGGGTCAGCCTACAGGATGCTGAACTGATACTCAAAACTGTCAGGCCGTGGTGATGCACGCGTATAATCCCAGCAGCTCGGGAGGCTAAGGCAGGAGGATCTCAAGTTCAAAGTCAGCCTCAGCAACTTAGTGAGGCCCTGTCTCAAAATTAAAAAAAAAAAATGGGCTGGGGATGTGACTCAGTGGTTAAGCACACCTCAGTTCAATCCCTGGTACCAACAACATCATCAAAAGCATCAAAAGCAAGAAGAATCTGAAAAACCATCTCAGTCTAGAGAAACCTAAGGAGAATTGACAACTGACTGCACGGTGATGACCTGGATGGGATCCTGGAGCCGGAAAAGACATTGGGCAAAAATCAAGGAGATCTGAGAACAGTTTGGAATTTAGTTAGTAATAATGTATCAGTGTTAAATCATTAATCATAACCAATGGGCCACGTTAATGTGAGCTGTTCATCACGGGAGAAGGGGGGGGTCCACCGGAACTCTGTACCATCTTATCAATTTTCCTGTAAATCTAAAACTTTTATAAAAGATGAAGTCTATTGAGGACATCTGAGGACACGGGATATTTGTGATGAAAGAACTTGAGGTTGAGCAGAGACAGGGAAAGAGGGAGGGCCAAGGCCACTGTGAACCCCAGCAGTTCCTGGGCTCTTTCCATTCATCCCCAAAGGTTTAAGGAACGTGAACTCTCTCACACGCGCCCAGCTATGATCCATCCGTCTGTCCGTCCATCCGTCCATCTATCCTTCAACTATTTCTTGAGCACCTACTAAATGACAGGCACCGGGCACTGCTGTTCCCACTGTGTCCTTGAGTCACTGGTGTTTGTGGAGGTGTCTGCTCCAGGTCCCTTTCCATACTCCGTCCCTAGGCCGTGGGACCAGAGGTGGAACTCGCTCTGGTTGCTGGGCACCCCAAACGGATGAGGGCTCAGGAGGGCTCCTCTGGGCATGAGGGGGTGGCCATCCAGCATATTAGGGTACCACTGTGCAGACATGGCCAGGCTAAGCTCTGGACCTGACCCTGCAGGTGGCAGAAAGGAACGAGCCCAGCCTGGGGTCACTCTCCTCTGGAGACAGGCGTGGCGTGTGGAGGTGGCTGTGTTGGGACAGACACCTGCCTGCATTCTCCGCTGAGTGGCACCTGCGAGCTCAGGGATTTCAGACCAGACGCTCCCCGAGGCAGATCTCAGAGGCAGCATCCGGCCTTTGCAGACAGGGTCCAATATTGGAGGCCAAGA